GGCGTAATAAGAAATATACAAGTTAGACAAGTTATGTTCTACCTATAGCTCATATATTATAGTAACAGTAATTTCATCCGCAGTTACATTATGTGTAAACAGGCTCTGATTGCTCGGTAAATGGCTGATAATTTTCGGGTTGTATACAGCCGAGCACACTACGCGAACCCATGCTGCGCGGCGATGATCTATTCTATCTATTTTTTCTTTATGTTGTATAGCACTTGCGTTTGTACTGTATCACTCAATATTACATGTTTAACTGGCCGCAACATGCATGCCTATCTGCACTTTCATACGTCAGGGCGGGATCCAGAGAGGGGTCGAGGAGGCGTTCCGGACCCCCCTTGTTTACCACAAAAAAGATGAAAAAACGCACACACACGCACGCACGCGACGCACGCAGCGCAGCGGCCACACACACACACACACACACACACTTCTCTCATATTGTTTCCATAAAAAATATTGTTTAGCGCTAGTTTTTCTGATAAAGATTTACTTATATATATGTAAATTCGTTATAAAAACCTAGAAATGAGCAAAGAGGAGTCCGCAGGCGTCCGGGGGACCGGATCTGATAAATTTTTGCATTCTAGACATCAAAATTACTGCTCAGATGCTCTCAGAATGCACCAATTTTTAAAAGAAATCTTGGGGGAGGTCCCCCATACCCCTCTAAGTGGCATTCGGCAGCTTGTGAGTGTGTGCGAAATATGTTGTTTGTAATGTGGATATAATGGTGTATGAACCGAGTGTCGAAATAATGTGCTAAAAGGGTATTACTTGTACAAAATTTAATGAATTTTTTTGTGTATTTAATTTATTCTTCATGTTGTTCTGCACTGCTTTGTACTGTATTCACTCAGGAAACATCTTTTCTACCTGCTAAACATTTACTGTAATCACTTTACTTGTACAGAATATGCTGAAGTTTTTTTTTCTCGTTTATATTTTTTCTTCATGGTATATAGCACTGTTGTGTATTGTATCACTCAGAAAGCTTCTATTTTTTCTTTTTTCTTTAACTGCTCCAACACTTACCTTAATCACTTTACTTGTACATAATATGCCGAAGTTTTTTTGTATATATTTTTTCTTCATGCTGTATATCAATGTTTTGTACTGTATCACTCAGAGATTTTGGGGATCGTGGGTATATTTGCTATAGTTTATAGTATGTACAATGTTATGTTGGACCACAATGGAAATAAGTGTGTTAGTCACGCTTTTTGTGTTTTCATCCTCGATAATTTTCTAGCTGCATTTTGTTTATTTATGCTGTTATCGATGTAATGTATGCTTTGTTAATTATCAAAATATATAAAAAATATTTAAAAAAACATGCACACGCGCGTATCCTAGCTTGGAGTGGTCAATGGCGTTTTGCCGACGTAAATAAGTAAATGGAAACGGAGTTTCATCCCGACTACTGATATCAAATCGGTACATATTGTGGATCGAAATAGACAAACAATTTATACTGATATTATGGTTATGATGAAGTCATAACTCGATGCGAATTGCAATGCGAATCGTGTATGAGCTGTAGCGTATAATTCACAGATTTCACATTTCAATAACTCCAACATTTGCCATTTGAGATTAAATGATAAAATTAAAATTTTAAGTTAGTGACTGCCCCAAAACTCATTACTCTAACAAAAGCTTTTTACACTATGATCATATATCACGAACAAGAGCCGCAGAGCGTCTGGGCTCATCTGGGGTCTGTTGCTACGGTTGTGAACGTACAATTTCAGTCGTGCGTAGTGACACATTTGTTAGGCGCAGATATGCAGATACGCAGTTGCGTACACATCATTGTTAGGACACGCTCACTA